CCAATATAAAACAGCACAAGCCGCTCCAGCTGGCCCCCAACACCTGCCCCAAGACCTGGAGGCAGGGGTAGGGCACGCATGGGCGCAAACTTTCGTTCTCTGTTCGAGGGCCCATCTCTGCTCAACCGCCTGTTGCCGCATACTCAGCGGGAGGAGGCTCGCCTGGAATACAGGGCCCATGCTGGGTGATGGGCTCAGGAGGAACTCGGGGGGTCCTGGAGCGCCCGCGACACTTGCCAAACGCGGTCTGGCCTATGATCGAGCACAACTTCATGAGGCTAGACATGTTCACGCCCATGACCGAAATGTCGTAACAAAAAGCTGCCGGAAGACCTCCTGCCTTAACCACCTTACACATGCTGGAGCATCCTGAGCGCAAGCCTCGAAATCGGCGAACTCGGGGCCCCGAACTCCCCCATCGCAGCGCTTGGACAGGAGTTCGTCGTCGGCCAGCCGTATAGTCCACCCCGTGGTTTCGAATGGTCTCAACAGCTTGGAATTTCCATCGCAACGGCCCAGTTCTCACTCGAACCTCGACGCCCCTGGAAGTGGCCGGGATCAAACCTTTCGCGGGGGAAACCAGGAAACCAAGCCGTTCGAGCTTGTCGCATGACAAATAAGTCGCGTCGACCGCCGTTCTCGCCGCCGCTAGCCTTCCCCGTCGCTCCGATCGCGGCATCGTCGACGTTGCATGATCGAACCGAAGGGCATCTCGCGACGCCCTGCTCTGAAGGGCCAAGGAGGAGGCACTTGCGCAACGTGGTGGCGGACGCGCAGCCTGCGAGGATCGCCTGCAGGCAATTGACAAACTCGGAGCATGCGCGGCCAACCTGCAGGACCCTCTGGCCCCTGTATAAGCAAAGGAGGTAGCGCAGGCGATAGGGCGGGAAGCCGTGCTCAACGGCCGCCAGGGCCTACTAGACATGCATGACCTTCCCGCGGCACGTGGTCATATCGACCAACGCAGAGGCAGCATAGTGACCACAAATGAAAGCGCGCCCCGTCCTTACAGCCTGCTCCCAGACCGCTCTCCCACAAGAATGTCCCGCGCTTCTAATATGCTGGGCCCTGTCGCGGGGCCGCCCCCATCTGTCAGCTTGCACCCTGGAATGCTTGCCGAAGCGCCGGACACTCCCAGACAAAACTCCGATTGGTCGAACGCCGCCCTCATCGTCCTTCAGAATCACGGCCAGGATGATGGTTGCCAGGACCTCGGGAAGCCTTCCGAGGGGCTCCATCCAGAACCGTGGGGCAACAACGCACGCCAGAGCCGCGTCGCCGAGGTCCCCGAAGTCTCCAGCGCGGGCCCTGTCCGCGCCCATCGCCGTCGTGACCGTGAACCTGTTAGAGCACTTTCGGATCTTACCAGGCGTGGCCAACTCCATGGGCTCCTCTGCGGACTCGGAAATCTTGCTGGAGAGGAGGCCCATGGGATCTGGGCCCAGGAAACTAAGCTTCGAAGGCCAAGTGCCATTCCACTCGCCCATGAGGTCGTCGATGCGCCCCATGAAGCCTTTGGAGGGCCCTCTTTTGGGGTTCGAAGGAGCCCAGCCCAAGGGAACTGTGGTGAACGCGTGGGCCAGTCAAGCTCCATTCTCCAGACTCGTCTTAACCCGAGAGCGCCAGGCCTGGCGTCGATCCGACTGCAACTGCTTCTCATGGTGCTCTGCGTCTCGCTTGGCCTCGGCGCGAAGTTGCGCGGGGCCGACGAGATCAAGGCTCGCTAGATCGCCCTCTGACATGGCCGCGGCCTGCGAATCAGGGCCAGCATGGAGAGCCGCTGGCCCATGGGGGGCGCGGTGAATATATATATATATATATATAATCTAGCATCGGGTCGGCCCAAGGGCACTTGCTTCCTGACAAGGTAGCTGAGCTCCTGGATATGAATGGGCCACTTCCCCCACGCTCTGCCCTTGCCAGAGAAGACAGGATAAGCCCCGCCTGTGACGTGGGCAGCCGGGTAGGTTGTGGTTTTCCCCCCATTGGCCCGGCCGCGGTACGTGGGGGCCTCGCTCTTGTCTGCGCCGTGAATGCCTATCATCTCACCCCCGAAAAGCTTGCAACGCCTGGCGCGGCCCCCGCCCAGAGCTGCCTGGCCACCGCGCGCCTCGAGCTGAGCAAGACATGCACCAATCTGGCGGGCGCGGGCGCGGGCCTGAGGGCGCTTCGCGACGGGGCGCCCAGGGGCCCACCAGGGCCCTTGTCTCGGGCTCCCCGGGCGCGCCCGAGAGGTCCAGGGCGGCGAGCCAGCGCGGGCAGGTCGCGCCCTTCTCGTTGAGCGCGATGGCGTCGAACAAAGGGTCGAGCGATTTCGACGCGATGAAATAATCGATGGTGGTCCAGGAAGTCTGACATTTACGACGCGCGGGCTCAGCCGCGTGGAAGACGGCGCCCCTGCCTTGCCCGCCAACGACGTCGGCGATGCGCGAAAGTCGCCGCCTATCGCGAAGGGCAGCTGCCAGCCATGAAGAGCCTCCTTTAGTCCTTTAAGGGTCTGAAGGCTGTCGAGGCCCAAGGGGTCGTCACAATCCAGGCATAAGGGGTTGAAACCGCTATGCCACCAGGGACGCGCACATCCAGCCATGCTCGACAGACACGGTGCTGCTACGGAAATGGGCGGACAAGCGGCAGGGGCCCAGTACCGATGTGACTCCTGACTGCTATCCCTGTCCCACGACTCAGCCCGCCCTTGTCTGTGGTCCTGGTAGGGTGAATATGAAGGCTTTCCGACCTAGCTGGCGAGGCCGATGGCTACCCTCACGATGGCCCCCACCTAACGCAAAGTCCTGCTGCGCGACAACCTGGCCGACAGCCTCCGAGCCCAAGTGCGTCTTGAGCGATCTCCAGGATGGAGAATTGCAAGAGTCGGCGGAGATTCATCGCCTCGTGGGCTGCGACGCGCGACCACCGCCCCCGTCGTTGCATGGCCTGCGCCGGCCCCCCGACGGGACCGTCGGCGCCCCCAGTTGGAGCGTCGCGGAAGATGGAAGGAGACTTGGCCAACATGCTCGAATCTTGCGTCGCTGCATCCTGCGATGTCTTAACCTTGATGCCAGCTTCTGAATTAGAAAGCGGCGTCTTTGCCAGCGTGCCCATCGAATCCGCGCGCGGCAAATGATGGGGGCAAGGAAGAGCTGGGGCCGTCGAAGTAGATCGCGAAACCCCAGTAGAGAAGATGCTCGACCCACGCGTGGCAGAAGTGTCGGGAGGCAAGCCGTTCCCCAAACATGACGCGCTCTGTGCTCGCCATGCTCTCTCTGATTCACGCCCTGGGGGCCTCTCTTGGCGGCCCCAGCGCCTCGGGGACGCTGGCCCGCCAAGGGTTTCGTCCGAGGGTTGTCTCAGAGGTCCCATGGCAGGTGAGTCTGGCGGCCAGGAAGGGGCAGCCCCAATCGCTGTCCAGCATGTCATCTCCCAGATGTGGCCCCCTTGTTCAGAAGGCACTGATACCGCGCCTGCAGCCTGCTGAAACCGCTTCTCGAGGTCCTCCTCATCGGCGTCGGCTGCGGCATCCACAGCGCCGAAACTCGCCGTCGCCGCAGCCGCTGCCACCGAACGCTGGGTCATCTCCACCGGCGCGGCCCACGGCGGCAGCAGCCTTGGGCTCCACCGATGCACCGGCGTCCTCCTGCTCGGCGCTTTCGTCGTCAGCGCGGCGCCGCTTCGCAGCCATCCGCTGGTGGAAAGCCCGTCTCCGCCACCAGCTCCTGCGCGCGCGCGGAGCCGAAGGCATCGGCGACCGCCTTCTTGATGTTCTGCTCGACCTCCTGCTTCCTCTTCAGCTGCCGAGATCCCGATCCCCTCTGCCTCCAGGCCGAAGAGGCCATCGTCCTCGAAGATCTCGAACCCTTCGCCGTCCAACAGCTTCTCGAGGCTGAGCCCATGACGGGGCCCATACGCAGGCTCCTGCCATACCTGCGCAGGCACCTCCAACGCCACTAGTGTGACCGCCTCATGGTAACGAGGCTGGCAGGCTTCGAAATCGACCATCGCCTGGGCAGCCTGCTCCTGAGCCTGAGACAGCTCGCTCTGGAGGGCCTCCGCCGCCATGACGCGCTTTTCCACATGCTGCTTGGCCTCGCGCGTGGCATGCTGGGCCGCCCCGACCGTTGGCTGCCGTTGGCCCAACTTCTGCAGCTTTGCAAAGTAGCTCTCATACACCTTCGTCTGCTCCGTGTCCCTGAAGCCGTCGAAGATTTGCTGCAAGCCCTGCAGCTTGGGGATGTCGTCGACCGAACACTTTGCCCAACCCCCATCGCCAGCCGCACCCATGGGGCCGGTCTGGAGTCAGCCTGAGGCCTGAAGTTGGAGCCCCGCAGGTAGTACCTGTTGCAGCACTGGCGGCGGCACGCCTGACCTTTGTGGGACAACCTGCTTGGGCCCGTCAATTCCGAACCCATTGCCCTTGACGCCTCCTCTTTTCTTGCCCTTGCACCTTGCCTCTTTTGGCGGCCTCGCCGTGTGGGGAAGAAGGACACGAGCGCCGGCAAGGACGCCCAAAACAGTTGGGGCTGGGGCAGACGGCAGCACGAACGCGAGAGGCTAGAGCCTTCGAAAGCTCTGTGCCCCCACTCGTCTTGCGGTTTCCCACCCAAATTCAGTGCCGAGGGTCCCCGTCTTCATCACGCATACTAGGTTGGCCGCGACAAAAATAGTCCATTGGTAGGAACGCGGGGGGCTGCGTACGAGGGACATCGTGTATGTAGTACTCCTGCAAGAAGTCACAACAAGAAACCGGGGCCAGGAACTGGCAGCAGGGTCACTGGCGGGGGCGCGTTTCCCCCACGCCAAACAGGGATCAGTCTGAGCGAAACGCTGCGGACTTGAGCCAACATGGCTACGGACCTTTTCCTCCTCCTCCTCCTCCTCCTCCTCCTCCTCCTCCTCCTCCTCCTCCTCCTCCTCCTCCTCCGCCCCCACCCGAGATTATCGGGCAAGGGAACGGCCCCCCGAGAGGCGCCTGTGACGGGCGCTCTCGGCGCGGGCGGGGGCGGGGCAGGGGTGGGAAGCGGCGCGCACCACCGCGGTCGGTCGGATGCAACCTGGGGCGGGGCGCGGTGGCCGCGATCGGCGCAGGGCGGCGTGAAGAGGAGGCGGCGGGCGGGGGAGGGCGCGGGGGGAGGGAGACGCGGCGGAGGGGGCGCAGGGGAAGAGGAGGGGCGGCGACGGCGAGGCACAAGGAAAGTTGGGGGAGCGAGGAAGGCGGAGGATCGAAGGAGGGCTCCCGCCTGAAACGTCCTCGCAATTCACTCACAGACGACGATCCCGCTTGATGCTTCCTCCATCTTCAAGCCTGAAGAGCCCAAACATGACGGCGGCTACAGGTTTTTTGATGACCCGCGCGGATTGCCAACATGGACTGCGGGCCACAGAAAGAAGGGGCTCCCGCTGGACTTCCTCACAATTTACTCAGACACGACGCGCCCGCTTGATACGTCCTCCATGTTTAGGCCTCAAGAGACCAACCACGATGACATTTACAAGTCCCACCAACCCTCTGGGCGTAAGTGGTTTGAGGACTTTTGTCACGTCTCTTTCCACAATCCCTCCTTCCCCTGCTCGGGGAAGAAGTTTACCGCATGTCGGACCAATCCTAATCGGCTGGGACCAATTACAACCGACCGGGGCAGTTCTCAACCGGCCACACCCACACTCCTCCCACAACTACGCATTTCGAAAACCCGAATTCTCATCCTCGCTGTCCTCGGCCGTTATTTCCCTATTCCTCTCCTGCCTCTTCCCTCCTCCTCCTCCTCCTCCACCTCCTCCTCCTCCTCATCTTCCTCGTGCCGCATTCCTCGTCGTCCTCGGTTTTTTTTCCCCGTCTCGCTTCTCTCTAATTTCTCCTCATGCTCCTCCTCCTACCCCCAAGCTGGTCCCAGGAGGTCAACCGTGGCTCAAAACAGCTTCGAGATCGAACAAGATCGCTCAGCATGGCCGAGGATACCTCCCGACCGCCTCTAGTCGAGCAGGGCCGACCAGGGCCGAGCAGGGCTGAAAATGATTCGGCGGCGGCGGCGGGGGGCAAGGCGACTCGTTCGGCCACGGTCTCCCTCCCCGTGGGTTCGGGGTCTCCCGGAACCCCGAGGGCACGAGAAGCTTCCATTGGAAGCGTCGCCTTCGGAGCCAGTGGGACTCCCGCGCCCGCAACAGAGGAGGCGGGGGCCGAACGACTCAGGAGTCTCTAAGGAGCCTCCAAGGAGCTCCTAAAGTGCCTGTAAGGAGCCTCTGCGGAGCCTCTAAGAAGCCTCTCATGAGCTTGCATAAGAAACCTTTTAACAAACATCAAGATAGCTTGAACAGCGGATGTAATTGGTCTCGGTTGGCTGGGATTGGGGCCACAATGGTTGGACTCCGTCCCAGTTGGTTGTGCTTTCTTACGTTTTCTGGGTTTTCGCCCACTCCCCCAGGCGACCCGCGGCCAACCAGAACCACGAAGGCCCCGCCACCACATCATTGCAAAAACAATGCAAAACTACCTGTGCCTCCACATTTGGAGCATGCGCGGCCAACCCGATGCGCCCCCCCCTCTCCCCCCCGCCATCCCTGTCAAACACAATAAAAATTACGCTAACGAGGACCCCCACATACTTACTTCAACTCTTCTGTGTTTGCTTAAGCTTATACTATATGCGCAATTCTGCGTTCTGAGCCCTCGTCGCGAATGTTCCCCTATGTGTCATCCAACGCCATATTGCTTGAACCTCCTCCCTCTTCCTAGCCTTCTATCCTCCATCGAGAACAGATTCGAGCCAGCCAGCGCCCGCTGTGAGGGACCACCCCCTGCGCACCCTCTATGGTGTCGAGAAAGTGCCACGCCTGCTATGCCCTGGACGACCGTCGTGCACAGCGGCCGCGGTGAGGGACCACCCTCTGCGCACCCCCTGTGGTGTCGAGAAAGTGCCACTCCTGCCACGATCTGCGAGCGTGTCACGGATAGAGGCCGAGCTGAGGGACCACCTCTGCGCACCCCCTGTGGTGTCGAGAAAGTGCCACTCCTGCCACGATCTGCGAGCGTGTCACGGATAGCGGCCGCGGTGAGGGACCACCCTCTGCGCACCCCCTGTGGTGTCGAGAAAGTGCCACTCCTGCCACGATCTGCGAGCGTGTCACGGATAGAGGCCGCGCTGAGGGACCACCCTCTGCGCACCCCCTGTGGTGTCGAGAAATGCAACTCCTGCCACGATCTGCGAGCGTGTCACGGATAGAGGCCGCGCTGGGGGACCACCCTCTGCGCACCCCCTGTGGTGTCGAGAAAGTGCCACTCCTGCCACGATCTGCGAGCGTGTCACGGATAGAGGCCGCCTGTGCTGCGGTCTGCTGTGCTGTGCTGTGCTGTGCTGTGCTATGCTGTGTGTGCGGTGTGCTGTGTGTGCTTGTGTGTTTGTGTGTATGTGTGTATGTGTATGTGTGTGTGCTGTGCTGTGCTGTATGCCGTGTGTGTGCTTTTGTGTTTGTCTGTATGTATGTGTGTATGTGTGTATATGTGTGCTTTGATGTGCTGTGCGGTGCTGTGCTGTGGGTGTGGGAGGAAGGAAGAGGAGGTGGAGGAGGAGGTGTGAGTCGCGGGCGCGTGAGTTGCGGGCGCGGCGCGGCAGAGAAGAACACCATAACCCCACCAAGCATGTGGGGAAATATACTTGTGGGCAAAGTCTTGCCTCATGTTCGTGAAGCACGCGAACACTTTGTACTGTCTTTGAAAAAGACGCCCCGGTGTGAACAGATGGCCTACTGTGCGCAAGGGTACCATCCCTAACAACAAACCATACAAGATGCACCTCGCGGCTAAATTTGGATCATGCACGGCCACCACGCGATCGCTGTCAAGTGGTTTTTGACAGGGGCCGCGGGGGTGGTGGCGCGTGGCCTGCTGTGCGCATGCCCACCAGACACAATGATGGGCATTGCTGTTCGACAAGGATGATGTGGACCGACATGTTTCCCGATGTGTGCTGTCACGTGCGCAGGCACACCTGACACACTTTGCGCGTGCCCCGAACGTGACGCACTTGGCGCAGCTGGGGTATGCGGCGCACCTGGCGCACTCGGAGCACGTGGCACATCTGGCGAACCAGGCGTGCCTATCACGCTCGGGCCCCAGGGGTGCCTGGCGCGCGTGGCGCGCCTGGCACGCGTGGCGCACCTCGCCCCAGCGTCGCGCACATTTGGTCGGCTTTGTTTCCCAGTAATTAGCTGTGCTGTCCATCCAGACGCGACCTCTGAACATGGTGAGGTTCGGGTGTTACTGATGTTTTGGGAGGGCGGGCGGGAATGAACTACACGGTTCGCTAGTGTGGGGGTGTTTTGATGACTATTCCTTACGACTATACACGCCCTCCCCCAGGCGACCGGCGTCCAACCAAGAACCAGGAGGACACCATGACGACCCGCCCCCCACGATCTTGACCAAAACCAATACAAAACAACCTTTGCCTCCACATTTGGAGCATGCGCGGCCAACCCGATGCGCCCCCCCCCACTCCGCCATCTCTGCCAAGTACACTTCGGTGCAAAGTCTTGGGTCATGTCCGTGAAGCCCGCGAACACTTTGCATTTTTTTAACAAAAAACGGCGGGGGTGTCAGCATATTCCCTGCTTCGCGCAGGGCTACCATCCCTGACCAAAAAATGCAACATGCACCTCGCGGCTAAATCTGGATCATGCACGGCCACCACGCGATCGCTGTCAAGTGGTTTTGACAGGGACCGCGGGGGTAGTGGCGCGTAGCCTGTTGTGCGCATGCCAACCAGACACAATGATGGTCATTGTTGTTCGACAAAGATGGTGGGGACCGACATGTTTCCCGATGTGTGCTGTCACGTGCGCAAGCGCACCTGACACGGTCTGCGCGTGCCCCGAACGTGGCGCACCTGGCGCGGCTGGAGTGCGCGGCGCACCTGGCGCACTCGGAGCACGTGGCACATCTGGCGCACCAGGTGTGCCTGGCACGCTCGGGCCCCAGGGGCGCCTGGCGCGCCTGGCACGCTGCACCTCGCCCAAGCTTCGCGCGCCTGGGGTCGGCTTTGGTTCCCAATAGCTGCCCATCGAAAGACTACCGCTGAATATGCTCAGGCTCTGGTGTTCCTTATGTGTTGGGAGGGCGGGTGGGAGTGAGCTAGACGATTTGCGGGCGGGTGGGCAGCTTGACCCCTCCCCCCACCCCCTCCCCTGGGCCTGGGAACGGTTGGGGGCACGAGGCGCTGGAGCGCCCGAAATGGCTCCCAGAGGGCCTCAGAAAGCCAAATATGGCCTCACAGGTGGCTCGAGATAGCTGAAGATGGTTCAAGATAGTCTCCCCCGTACATCGAACACGTCCCAAGACGGTTCCAAGATGGTTTCAAGTGCCCTCCGAGCCCTCCAATGACCCCTCAATATGCCCACGTGGCTGCAAAACCTTAAAGATAATCAACGGTTTTGCATTCTCGCCTTTTCGCTTATGATGGGGCCCCGAGGCCTCAGCATCTCTCCGAGACGGCCCAATGGGGGCCCCAAGAGGGGCCTGATGGGGGCCCCACGAGCGAGCCTCCGAGAAGGGGGGCTGAATTGAGGACGCACCTCCTGTCAAGCTACGGTGGCCAAGACTGCCCCAACAGGCCTCTCCGACTCGCCCAAAGGCCCACAGAAGACCCTAAGATGGCCCCGAAAGAACCCCGAGAGGGCCCCGGGAAATCCCCGCGAGGACCTCAAGAGAGCCCCGAGGGGCGGGCGAGGTGAAAGGCGACTGACAGTCGCAGAGTGCGCAGAAGGGCGGGCGGGGAAAGACGGGGGGCGCGACTAACAGTCACGAGGTGGTCATTGTAGCATGCTGCGCCAAACTGCGAGTCCCGGTTGCCGCTAGGGATCTAGCAGCACGGGTCGCGCCGCGGGAGGGGGGCCAGGGCCCCCGGGCGGCCGGGGGCAAGGGCCCCCCGAGGGCCAGGGGCGAGCCAGCAGCCCCAGCTGGGCGCGCCCGAGGCGGTATTAGGTATTAGGCGCGGAGCCGAAGTGGCGCGCCGAGGGGCCGCGCCTTGGGCTGGCCCCAATGTGAGGAGGGTCGTTCATAGAGTCAGGGGCAATGCCTTCGTTGGGTAGGACGGCGGTCGGCTCCGTCGGGGTAGTTGGGGCGTGCCCGGATGAGGGGGGGGCGCGCTCGCGGCGCCGGCTGGGTTGCGGGAGAGCGGGAGTGCGTGAGAGGGGTGCTAGGGGTGCACCCGTGGCTGGTGGGAGTTCGTGGCCCGCCTGGAGTCTCCTGGCCTTGTCCAGCGGGAATCGCCGTCCTCCCGAAGCCCCTTGCCTTTGCCTTTGCCCAAGGCGCCCTGCCACTTGGTCCAGCCTGCAGTCTTGTCGCGCACCGCGGGCCAGTCGTCCCCGAGGTGTAGAGCCTCGTCCATTTTCATAAGGTGACAGTTGTGGCGATGCCACGCCCGGAGGAAACGCTCGCATGACCTGGGCTCCTGCCTGGTGGGGTCAGCACAGACGTAGCCAGTCCCGGTGGGGTTTTTAGCCGTCCACTGGTGCGAACCCCCGCTGAAGTATTCCCCGAACTCCTTCTGAAGGCTTTTAACTGTCTCGGCGGGAACCTCGCCGCGGAGGGGGGAGAGCTGGACACGCTCCAGCGGGGTTCGATACATGTACTGGCCGGTGTGCGGTCTGCGAAGGGTCGGATTGAGCGTCTGCGTAGGGGGGCCACGGGGCCGACCGAGGGGTCGGATTGTCGTCGGCGTACGAGGGTGAATGGGTGTGAGAGGACCGACCCCAACGCTCGTTGGCCGCCCAGCTGGACCAGCCCGCCCACCCGGTCCAGCTGCAGCTGTATGGGTCATTACAGCTGGCTCATACTGTCGCCGCGGCCGGTGCTCACCCCAACGCTCGCCCCAGCTGCGTTCGTCCCGCATGGTAGTGTCGATCAGGGGTCACCCCAGGGCGGGGATTGGGGAGGGGGAAGCCCTGCGATCAGAGGGGCTAACCGGGCTGCAGAGCCTGGAGTCCACCGCGGGGCTGCGGGAGGAGCCGACGTGCAGGATGGGTGGACCCGAGCTAGCGGACGGGGACACCGAAACCGCAGCCCCCTCTCTTACCGCTGGAGGGGGTGGGGCGGGGTCGGCTTCAGCTACGTGAGTCTCGACCACGGATGTGTCAGAGATGGCGTCGCTGAGCGCGGCTGGGGCGGCGCCACTTGCCGGTGGGTGAGTGCCCCGTTGCAGTAATTTTATGTGGGGGAGAGGTGCCCTGGGGCGGTCCTTTGGCGGTGGGGCCTTCGGCACCTGGGCTCGCCACCGGCAGGCGGTTGGTTACCTGTCGGGGAGTGTGGGCCCGTCGGTGTGGGAAGCGCTGGTCCCGCGCCGCGCCGGCGTCGAGGGGGAGCGTGCTCGAGAGGCCCAGTCTGGCGGCTCTGGCGGGGGGCCGGGAAAGGTGTGGAACTCGGCGGGTGGTGAGCGGGTGTTGATTTGCTGCCACCATTCGTTCGTGCTGTGCCCCCTGGTAGGGGCATCGTCGAGCTGCCTGCATAGCTCCTGGGTGTCTGCGAAGGGGCAGTCCTTGGTCAGCTCACGAATCGCCCCTGTGGCGAGCAGGTCGGAGTCGACTTGGCTCAGGAATCCCACAAGAGCGTCCAGCGTGTGACGGAGCGGGGAAGAACTGCGCAAGGAGCCTGTTTGGTTGGCGTGCTGTACCCACTTGGAGCGTAGCGGGCTGCCGGGGGAGTTGACGCGGGAGTTGGCTGGTGGGGATACGCAAAAAGTCAAGAATTTGTTGATGACCCGCTCGGGTTACTAACATGAGCTGCGGGCCCCTTAGGGAGGGGGCTCCCACTAACAGGAGTGTGTGAGAGAGAGGGTGGAGGAATGCGCACAATGCTGAGGATGCTGGTGATGATGGTGATGGTGAGTGCGGTGGTGATGATCACGACCGATGGTAAATTGCATGATGGGATGGTGCTGGTGGTGATGATGACGATGGTGGTGTGGTAGAAATTATGATGAGGCTGGTGACGGTGATGGTGATGATGACGATGATGATGATGATGATGATGATGATGATGATGATGATGATGATGATGCCGAGTGGTGAGTGACAGTTGTGAGTGACTGACCCAGTAAACTTAAATTAGTGAGCGAGCACAGGCGAGGATGCTTATGCTGATGGGGATAATGATGATGACGATGAAGATGATTATGGTGATGCTGATGGGGATGATGATGCTGATGATGATGGTGCTGGTGCTGGTGCGGATGATGATGATGATGATGATGATGATGATGATGATGATGATGGTGATGCTGATGTTGATGATGCTGCTGATGATGCTGCTGATGATGATGCTGATGATGCTGATGATGATGGTGATGATACTGATCACGACCATGATGGGATGGTGAAGGTGATGATGATGATGACGATGGTGGTGTGATGCTGATAGAGATGATGTTGCTGCTGATGATGAAGACGATGATGATGAGGAGGAGGAGGATGAGGATGATGAGGATGAGGATGAGGATGAGGATGAGGATGAGGATGAGGATGAGGATGATAATGATGATGATGATGATGATGATGATGATGATGATGATGATGATGATGATGATGATGATCATGATGGTAATCGTGTTGAGGGTGATATTTGATGATGAAGGGTGGGAGTGGGTGAGGACTGCGCGGGGTGTTCAGAGAAAACGAGAACCCCACTTAGGATGTGGGGGAAAGCCAAGAACCTGTCGCCACGTTCGGCCTCCGGAGGTCGCCCTGGGAGCCCAGGACCGCTGGAGAACGAACCCAGATGAGAAGACGGCCCAGGACCGCCAGAGAGCGACCCATGATCCAGAGTTTCTCGCCATTCCCTTGACAGCCTCAGGCATCGCTCGGGACTTCCTGCGGATCTTGCATCAAGTGCGCCTCGCCGAGAGCCCTTCCGGGAGCCCGGCATCGTCCCGAAGGGCGGCTGCCAGGGGCCCGAATGCTACCAGCAAGAACGCCGAACAGGGAACGATGGGGGCTCTTCGGACCAGGGCGAGCCTCGGCCACGAAGAGGTTCCCCGACCTATGTCTAAGGAACGGCCCGAACACCGCAGCCCCTCCTGAGCCCGAAGTGGTCCTCGTCTCAGCGTCTCGGCTGCATGCCCCAGTGACCGACCGAGGGGGCCGAGCGGAGGGCCCTCGAAGACCTGAGCGCCACGGAGAAGTCACTGAAGCAGACACTACCCTTCGAGTCCCCCCGGGCCCTCGCGGCGCGGCCCGGCCAGGGAGACGAGGCGGGAGGCCTGGGTCTGAAGCTCTGGTCGTGATGCTTCACTTGGCGGCGAGCCCCGCGGGGGACCGAAGGCGCAGGCGGCTTCTCGGGAGGCGCGAGGGCTCCCGAGAAGCCCCGCCCACCCTCCGAGAAGGCCCGCCTCCCCTCGCTTCCCCTCTGGGCTCGCTGCCGAGACACGGCGCCGCGATCTGCTTCGCGGCGTCGGCTCCCGGTGGTGGTGCACGCGGGGGTGGCACGAGACCGCAGCTCGTGCGCAGAAGCGCTTGCCGCGGCGTCAGGCAGCGCACCCCCTCGCGGGCGCCGCCCATGGGCCGTGGGGCGGGCGGCCGCCGCACCAGCAGAACACCAGCGATCGAGAGCGGGGGGGGACGTTCCAGAGGGGAGCTGATGGGCGGAAGAAGGGCGGATGGAGGACGGGTGGTTGACGGAAGGGGGACGGAGTCCCGAGGATGGAGGACGACGGGTGCAGGACGGAGGACGGCGGAGGATGGAAGACGGAGGATGGACAGGTGGAATCCGAAGCCCAAAACGAATAGGAAGCACGCGACTCAAAATAGAGGTCAATCGTGGGATCAACCAGGCCACTTCGGGAGATCTTGTGGAATCATCACGTCCAAAAAGGCCCCAAAGCCGAAAACACCCTGGCTCCTGGTGAAGGTGGGAGGGCCAGGCCATCGTCCACGGAAGGCGCTCAAATGGGGCCAGAACAAATGGGATCGGAAGATCGCACTGCATAGCCGATGCATCCGCGATGCATGGGCAACACTGGGACGGAACAAATTGGGCCCAAGATCGCGCCGCACCGATGCGGCGCGATTCTCTGACCCCACCGGCCGATATCTGGGCGACCCGGAAACATGGAGTCCTGGCATCCGACGTCGTGGCAAAAACACGTCATCATGCAGAAGATCACGACTGAAGCTCTCGACCACATCGTTCTGCCTCGCTCCAAACGACTGGGACAAAAGGAGACTCGCCAAATGTCGCGCAGAATCTGATGGGACGACGTGTCAACCAACGCATCCACCCGCAAAGTCTGGGCTGTCGGCCACACTCTAACAAGTCCTGGGACGACCAACGCTCACCTCTGCCAGAAGGCCCTCGTGGTACCTCAACCGTCTTCTCGCGGCTTGGGCCTCTCATCGCTCCCGACCAGAGGGCAACCGCGAAAACTGAAGAGAAGATCAGGCTCGCGTGGTCGCGTCGACGTCGTGTGCGAATCTCCATGTGGCGACGGCTGTGAGAAAGACACCGAGGTCACTTTTTCATCAAGTGCGCTGCAGAATTCACGCGGTCTGGTCTCCATGTCCGCCACTGTGCCTTCACGAGTGGAATGTTAGAATACTTCTTAGTCGTATGATTCCTGCCGTGTTCAGTGAGCGCCCCCCTGTATCCCTCGTTGTAACCACCCAAGGTGATTACAACGAGGGTGGCTACAACCCGAGGGCGACTTTGGGAGGGTGGTCCACCCTCCCAAAATCGCCCTGGTTTCGCATCCCAGCGCCCTTTTTGGCCACTAGACGGCTTCTTTATGGCCACAGACCACCCCCAAATGGTTGCAAAATATCCGAAGACCAGCCCAACACGACACCCCTGGGGGTCCCAGACTCACGAACGCCCCAAACCAGACCCAAAGTGCCCCAAGAGGCCCCAAAGACAGCCCAAAAGGGCCTCCTCCTCCTCCTCCTCCTTGCGTTTGATCTCCTTTCCCTTGGCCGGTCGCCGCTCCCCCCCCCTTTGACTGGGCCCTCCTCCTCTCAAGCGAGCCAGCC